GTCCCAAGTCATATAGACGCATAGAAAAAGAAGTTCCATGACATTCATGCATCTGAAAGGCATCCAAATTGTTTCAAGTTTAACACTATGCGATTTAGGGGGAGAACGGGCGATCACGGCCACGGTCCAATTCTGGTAGGCGACTTGTTTTGGAAATCACAGCTCAGATCTATGTTCCAGGAATCCGCCTGATGGTTTTTCTCTCATGTATGTGCAGCCAACTGCACCAAGCGACTGCGCACACCATATGAGAAAACACCAGGACACTCACCTTATAGACATGCAAATTGTTCCATGTTCAAAGTTGTGTGATTCAGTGAGCCCAGCCAACTGCACCAACCAACTGCTTTTATCAGATACAGGACAGAAACCAGGAGCTTCACATCATAGACATGGTGAATATTCCGCATTCAACGCTGTACAATTCAGGAGTAGAAATTGTTTTATGGTTAATGTTGCGCAAATTAGGAGAAGAAAAAACGGATCACAGTCTCAAGTTGTTCCAAGTCATTCAAGAGGAGAAAGGGGAACTCACAGCTCCATGCCCATTGAACAGCTTGTTCTCGTTAATACTCGGGAGAAATCAAAACGGTTGCCAAGAATTCGAAGCAGCCTTGCATCATGCAAATCAAATCTGCGCGGGGCAATTCATGAAAGTCTCTTACCACCTCAGCTATCTCTCCCAGGTGTCCGTCAGAAGATTTCCCTCACTTGGGATGTATGTCCGGCTAATTGTATGCTAGCTGCATCCAGTGACTGCTGCAACTACATACCAGAGAATATTAAGACATTCACCTGAAGACGTGTCGATTGTTGCATGCTCAGAGTTGTGCTTTTCAGGACGAGAAAGCGCGAATCACTGTTCCAAGTCTTGTAGTTAGCATGTTTTGGAGTCAATACAGCTGCATGGCTGCCATCAAATCTGTGCAGGACGATGCTGTCATGAATGTTCCCTGCAAACTCTTCTATCTCTTCCAAGAATTTGTCGGGAGTTTTCCCCTATTCGGCGTGTATGTCCGGCCAGCTGTATGCTAACTGCATCCAAGGACTGCTACAACAACATGCTAGAGAATATTAAATCACTCGCCTCCAAGACGTGTAACTTGTTTCAAATTCAAGGCTGTGCTTTTCAGGAGGAGAAAGCGCGTATCACTGTCTCAAGTCTTGTAGTCAGCATTTCTTGGATATCAATACAGGCGCAAGGCTGCCAAATCAAATCTGTGTAGGATGATTCTGCCATGAATGTTCCCTGCAAACTCTGCTATCTCTCCTAGGAATATGTCAGAAGGTTTCCCTCGCTTGGCAGGAATGTCCAGCCGATTGCACAAGACAACTGCTTATGCCAGAAACCAGTGTACATCAGGACACTCAGCTCATAGAAGTAAGAATTGTTTCATGGTTAACATGGCGGAATTCAAGAGGAGAATGAGCGGATCATAGCATCAAGATGTTCCAAGTCAGTCAGGAGGCAAAAGGGCAACTCACAATTCCATGTCCATTGGACAATTTGCTTTCGTTAATGCTAAAAACAATCAAAACGGTTGCAGAGAAAACAAAACGGCAACGTGTCATGCAAATCAAATCTGCGCGGGGCAATTCATGAAAGTCTCTTACAGCCTCAGCTATCTCTTCCAGGTGTCCGTCGGAAGGTTTCCCTCACTCAGCATGTATGCCCGGCCAACTGTATGCTAGCTGCATCCAATTACTGCCGCAACTACATTCCAGAGAATATTAAGACACTCACTTGAAGGATTAAGTCGATCGTTGCATGCTCAGAGTTGTGCTGTTCAGGAGGAGAAAGCGCGAATCACTGTCTCAAGCCTTGTAGTTTCTTGGGTATCAATACTGCTGCATGGCTGCCTTCAAATCTGTGTAGGATGATTCTGCCATGAATGTTCCCTGCAACACTGCTATCTCTTTCAGGAATCTGTCGGAAGGATTCCCTGACTCGGCGCATATGCTCGGCTATCTATGCAAGCAACTACATACTAGAGAATATTTAGACACACACCTTAAAGACATGTAAACTGTTCCAAGTTCAAGGTTGTGTTTTTCAGGAGGAGAAAGCGCGTATCACTGTCTCAATACTTGTAGTCAGCATTTCTTGGATATCAATACAGGCGCAAGGCTGCCAAATCAAATCTGTGCAGGATGATTCTGCCATGAATGTTCCCTGCAAACTCTGCTATCTCTTCCAGGAATATGTCTGAAGGTTTCCCTCGCTGGGCAGGAATGTCCAGTCGATTGCACAAAACAACTGCTTAGCTTCTGTTAATGCTAAAAAGAAATCGAAACGGCTGCAGAGAACACAAAACGGCTACGTGTCATGCAAATCAAATCTGCGCGGGGCAATTCATGAAAGTCTCTTACAACCTCAGCTATCTCTTCCAGGTGTCCGTCAGAAGGTTTCCCTCACTCAGCATGTATGCCCGGCCAGCTGCATGCTAGCTGCACCCAATTACTGCCGCAACTACATGCCAGAGAATATTAAGACACTCAC